AGACAGTGAGAATGCGACGTATGTTAGCCAGCATTATTGTCATTATCCCTGGTACATCAGAGCTGGATTCCAGAGTGACTTCTCACTTTGGTCAGTGGCAGGAAGGGTCCCAGAAGTTCTGCTGTGGTCTCAGGGGTGCCTGCCACCATCTCCCTGGAGCAGCGCCCCATGGTGGGAAAGAACCTAACTTCAGTGTCCAGCCAATTTCCCACATTCACTCCCTGAGTGACTCTGGGCAAGTTCCTAACCCTCTCTGAGCCTCAGTTTCCTTATCTGTCCAGTGAGAATAACCCTGCCCGCTGGTTCCCACTGCCGTCAGATTTGATAACTCTCCTGAGGGCCCTTTGTGGGAGGTACTGTTCTCAAGGGGGGAGGAGACTAATTGCTCATGCCCTCCTGGCCAGAGCGGGAAGCTGTGGGGTGGCCGGTTTGTGGGCGCAGTGGACCCCATCATGGAGAAGTTCAACTCGTCCATCACCTATGACCAGCACCTCTGGGAGGTGGACGTGCAGGGCAGCAAGGCCTACAGCCGGGGCCTGCAGAAGGCGGGGATCCTCACCAAGACCGAGATGGACCAGATACTCCAGGGCCTGGACAAGGTACTCTCCACACTCCCAGGCCCAACCCAGCGTCCCTCCCTGTGGTCCCAGGCTTTCACCAAATCCCCGAGCGAGCGCAGGCTGCGGTATCATCCCAAGTCTGTCATCTCCCCTCGTAGTGATCATATGCCTAGAGAGGTGCCCTTTAACCACATGCTGCGCTCTCTTCATCCCTTAATGCTCCTGTGGTCCTATGGCTCCTGAGCAAACGTGCTCTTGGCCTGTGATTCTCCTCGGGGGTGGAGCGCTGCCAGGACTCAACTGCTGATGCCCACCCTCCTGATGCCCGTGTTGCTGCTATCTGCTACAGGTAGCTGAGGAGTGGGCCCAGGGCACCTTCAAACTAAACCCCAATGATGAGGACATCCACACCGCCAATGAGCGGCGTCTGAAGGTGAGGCCACCCCCACCTCACCCCCCACCCCTGCCCCTCCCCTCTCTGGGCCACTTTGAGCATAAGCACCATCATTCTGTTCCCTTCATCACTGGGACCTCAGAGCAGGAGGCCTTAGCAGAGACCGGGCAGAACCAGGGCACCCTGGGGCAGGGAGGGAGGGCCACAAGCAGGCAGACCCCGACTGCGTGCCTCCCTCCACCCCCAGGAGCTCATCGGTGAAACCGCAGGGAAGCTGCACACAGGACGAAGTCGGAACGACCAGGTGCCGCCAGCCTGCCCAGCTCCCCGCCCTGGGCCTTCCCAACCTTGGGGGGTCCAGACAGCAGAGCTGGGGCTCAGCAGCGGTCCTGGCTCCCCAGGGAGGCAACACATCTGTGGTCCCTGAGTGCCACATCCTCCTCCCAACAGGTGGTCACAGACCTCAGGCTGTGGATGCGGCAGAACTGCTCCACGCTCTCTGCCCTCCTCCGGGAGCTCATCAGAACCATGGTGGATCGGGCAGAGGCGTGAGTGCATGCAACACCAGGTGGCAGAGAGGGCATGAGGGCATCCAGGGTCTCCGCTCCCCTGAGACAGGCAGCCTGAATGCCAGACCTAGGTGGCAGGGGTGATGAGGGTAGGGGGGCCAGGCTCTGGAGTACACGGGTACAGTCCAGAACTCCTGGACTGAGTGAGGCAGAGCAGCCAGGAGTGGGGATTTCTTGCGGCATCCCCGACCCCCAGCCAGCCCAGCTTAGCAGGCAGGGGGAGCTCACCCTTTGAGGGTTCACAGGCCAGAGGCTAAGGCACTAGGCAAATGGCCCGAAGCCCGCGGAAAGGGGCCGGCTTGCCCGGGGCAACCAGAGAGTCACTCCTTGGCCTGCCTGTGCCCCATGTCCCCCATCCCCACACAGCATGGCGGGCAAAGGACAGAGCTGAGGGCTGCCTCCCACTGGCTTCATCCCAAGCTTTGGCTTCTGTGACATGACTTCTGAGAAGTCTCTATTTGGTGTCAGAGACAGGGTTGACCCCTCCTCTTCCCCAGCTCCCTGTGACCCCTGTTTCACTGGGGGAAAACAAGGGCCCCCAAACTGTCATCCTCAGGGCAGGGTGGGTGTTGGGAGGATTAGGGACTGACTGCTAATGAGTACAGGGTTTCTTTCCTTTTTTTCTGTCTGTGTTGGGTCTTCATTGGTGCACGCAGTGAGCGGGCTTCTCACTGCTGTGGCTTCGCTTGTTGCGGAGCACGGACTCTAGGCACGCAGGCTTCAGTAGTTGCAGCACGTGGGCTCAGTAGTTGTGGCGCACGGGCTTAGTTGCTCTGTGACATGTGGGATCTTCCCAGACCAGGGATCGAACCCATGTCCCCTGCATTGGCAGGCAGACTCTTAACCCCTGCACCATCAGGGAGGTCCCAGGGTTTCTTTCTTGGGGTGATGGTTGTACACTAAATGTACACTTTAAATGGGTGATTTGTATGTGAATTATATCTCAGTAAAGCTGTTTATTTAAAAAAATTAGAACCGTCACTCACAGCACCTGTGCCACTGCCCTGCCTACTTTAAAGTGCCCCCAGCTATTCTGGGCTCCTCTGGAGTTCCTCTCATGCTCAAAAACTCGGCCTCTCACTGCCAGGTGGTACCTGCCGTGCACCTCCCCTCCTGCCCTGGCCCCTACCCAGATCTGCTACCAAGGTGCAGAGGCCCCAGCTGAAGGTGTAATCTCTACTTGGTCCTACGCTCACCCTCTGGACGCCCCCCAGCCATGGCCCAGTCACAATGCCCCACCTCCCGACCCTTCCCTTACACCATGTTTGTCCCCAGGAGATCACTTGGTCCCTTGTGCAGGCAGATCCTTGGTGAGCCTGCCCTGCTCTTCCCTACAGGGGCCCAGGACTGCAGGGTCCCAGGGTCCCAGGCAGGCCTCGCCTGAACCTCCTGAGCCCCTCAGGCTCCCTGCCCCTACTCTTCCCCTACAGGGAACGTGACATCCTCTTCCCAGGGTACACACACCTGCAGAGGGCTCAGCCCATCCGCTGGAGCCACTGGATCCTGAGGTGAGCGGGCAGTGAGGGAGGGGCGTGGTGGAGGGGAGGGGCCCAGCCCAGGCTGCCCTGACCCTCCTGCCTCCTGGCTTCCCACAGCCATGCTGTGGCACTGACCAGAGACTCTGAGAGGCTGCTGGAGGTGCAGAAGCGGATCAACGTCCTGCCCCTGGGGAGGTGAGTGAGGCCCAGTGCTCCAAGGATGGGGCTGCTGCCACATACTTAGCATGTTCCTTGGGCTTCAAGAGAAGAGGAGGGGCCGGGAAGGGCAGAGGGGGACAGAAGCCAGGCAGTCAGCCTCCCCAGCCACGGTGGGAGGGAGACCACAAATGGATCCTCAGCTCTCTCTAAGATGGGGGCGATGAGTGTGTCACAGCCAGGCCAGAGCTCTCCAGAGAGCCAGCCAGCTGCTCACATCGTGCCGTTTCCCCCGCGTGGGGACAAACTGTCTGGCACCCAAGCCAACCAGGCCGCAGCCCTGGCAACCAGAGCTCAGCACAGGTGTGCGTGCAAGTACATGCCAGGGCCTGCCTGCCGGGAGCCCCGGTCACTCAGAACCCCTCCCATCTCTGCAGCGGGGCCATCGCAGGCAACCCTCTGGGTGTGGACCGGGAGCTGCTCCGAGCAGGTGAGGCACCCTGCCCCTCCTTTCCCAGGAGACCACCCTCAGCACCTGCCAGGTCTCGCAGACACACACTTAGAGAGGGCAGGGGTCCGGGTAAAACCCTGGTCTATTATCTATGGCCAGTGAGGCTAGAGAGGCAAGGGGAGGCCATGGGAGAGGTGCATGGTGCCGGGGAGACTCAGGGCTCCCGCCTTCCTCCTGGGACCTGTACCAAAGACCTTCCCAACCTCCTGCCCCTCCCTACTCCTCCTCCCTGAGAGGGGGTCATGGGGGGGGTGCTGGGCAGCCTGGTTGGGGGGTGGGGGTGGGGAGAAGGCCCCTCCTCGCTCTCCAGCCCAACCCTATTGCCTTCGCCTTCCCAAATCGGCCAGAACTGAACTTTGGGGCCATCACTCTCAACAGCATGGATGCCACCAGTGAGCGAGACTTTGTGGGTGAGTCCTGGGCGCTAGCCCGCCCGCCCTCCAGGGCCAGTCCCCTGCAGTGCGTGCTGCCTTTGTCCCCCCGCCCTGCCTCCTCTCCAGCTTCCTACCACCCCCATATGGCCCACCGGACCTTCTCCAGGCTGGGTGAGGGGCAAGGCCTGGTGACCAGACAGCCTGCTCTCCCTCTCCTCCCGCAAGCTGAGTTCCTGTTCTGGGCTTCGCTGTGTATGACCCACCTCAGCAGGATGGCCGAGGATCTCATCCTCTATGGCACCAAGGAATTCAACTTGGTGCAGCTCTCAGATGCCTACAGGTAAGGCTGCGCCTGCCCTCCCCCAGCTCTGCGCCCACCAGCATGGCTTCTTTCCTCCTCACCCCAACCCCCGGGCAGAGCTGCCCAGCAGACCAGCCAAGGGGCACCGGAGGCCCTTCAGCCCCGGCATCTCTGTCTCCAGCACTGGAAGCAGCCTGATGCCCCAGAAGAAAAACCCAGACAGCCTGGAGCTGATCCGGAGCAAGGCGGGGCGAGTGTTTGGGCGGGTAAGCAGGGCAGGGAGTTGGGGCGAGGCCTCTGCGCTGACCCGGAGGGTCCTGAGGGAACGTCCAGGACAGGATCCGAGGTCCAGCCCCCTGATCCTCCCTGTCCCCTCAGTGTGCTGGGCTCCTGATGACCCTCAAGGGACTTCCGAGCACCTACAACAAGGACTTACAGGTGCGAGGCTGGGGACCCAGTTGCACACACACCGCATACCAATTCTCGGGGTCCTGGCTCATCTGGGCAGGGGCCCCACAGAATTGCCACCTCCTGTCCTGCGCACGCAGCCCTGGGAGTGCTCTCCTCTCCCTTGCTGCGGGGTGTACGAGATGCTGAGTGTTCCCAGTGGAAGGCAGTGGGAAGGCCTCACTGGGCACCGGGCTACTGGGCCCTTACCTCCTGCCACGTGCCTCCCAGGAGGACAAGGAAGCCGTGTTTGAAGTGTCCAACACCATGAGCGCCGTCATCCAGGTGGCCACTGGCGTCATCTCTACACTGCAGGCAAGACACGCCTCTTCTCCCCGAGGCCCCTAAGCTCAGGGCTGGGATGCCAGGAGGGTGATCTTGAGAGGAGGCAAGCGTGGGTGGGTCCAGAGGCCGTGGGGCAGAGGGAGGGGCCATGTGCTTGTTCCTGCCCTGGGAAGAGCGAAGAGACACACTGCAGTAGAATGGAAGTGGGTTAGACTCAAGGAGCCCCATCAGCTGGCCTGGCCAGATTTCTTCTTCAACCATTTACTATGGGAAATTTCAGTATACAACAGTTGAGAGGCTGTGTATCATAAACCCTTATGTACCAACACTCGGCTTAAACAACAATCAACCCATGGCCATTCTTGCTTCAGCTGTCTTTACCCACTACCCCCTCCACCGCTGTTTTTAAGCAAACCCCCCTCATCATTTCATTCCTAAATAGTTCAGGACGTGTCTCTAAAGCAGTGGTTCTCAAAGTGTTGTCCCGAGATCAGCAGCATCAGTATCACCCGAGAACTTGACAGACCTGCAATCCTAGGCCCCCCTCCAGACCTGCTGAATCAGAGACTCTGGGTTAGGCCACGGAGATCTGTATTCATTATAAATCCTCCAGGTGATTCTGATGCTAAAGATAAGGAGGCAACCCCAGTAGCACAGCTAATAATGATCAATAATTATGAAATGATGGTTCAAGCAGAGAAAGCAGAAGAGGGTGGGTAAGAGGGGATCTGCCCAAGGCAGGGGACTTCCTGGCTGAGGGGGGTTAGGCCTTAGGCTGGCAGCTCCAGGACCAAGGGCCCCCCAGATTCACACTCGCCTGGCTTGCTGTCCCCAGATTCACCGTGAGAACATGGCACGGGCTCTTAGTCCTGACATGCTGGCAACTGACCTCGCCTACTACCTGGTCCGCAAAGGGGTAAGTGTGGGGCAGCCAGGGTGGAGGGGCGAGGGGACAGGGATGTTCCTCAGGCTGGGGGTGGCGGTGGTCATGGTGCGGGGGGAGGGCCGGCACCCCCAGCAGAACAGGGAGCTCAGGAAGCCTGCGTCAGCACCGCTCTCCCGCCCCCCGCACCCCCAGATGCCATTTCGCCAGGCCCACGAGGCCTCTGGGAAAGCCGTGTTCATGGCCGAGACCAAAGGGGTCGCCCTCAACCAGCTGTCGCTGCAGGAGCTACAGACCATCAGGTGCGCTCCCCTCCCCTCCCCTCCCCTCCCCTCCCCTGCCTTCCTCGAGGCCAGCCCAGGCCCACCTCCTCCTTTTCCCCCAGCCCCCTGTTCTCGGGAGACGTGAGCCACGTGTGGGACTACGGACACAGCGTGGAGCAGTACGCAGCCCTGGGGGGCACTGCGCGCTCCAGTGTCGACTGGCAGATTGGGCAGGTGCGAGCTCTCCTAGGGGCGCAGCAGGCCTAGAGCCCTCCCCATGCCTCTCCCAAATAAAGTGGGCCCAAGAGGAGGCTGTGTGTGTTTCCTGGCCAGCCTGTCTGCCTCGGTTGGTGGGGATGCAGTTAGGGGCCAGAGAGGAAGTGGAGGAACTGGACAAGCATGGCTAGAGTCAGGGATGGGGAAGGGTGGAGGGGATGCGCATCAGAGCCTCCACCCTGCACAGGCCCCACCCCCTTCACCGTGGGCCTCACAGTGACTTCCTGCCTTGGGTGTCTTGGCGGGACTGGCTTCCTTGGAGCCCTGCTGGGAGCTGACGGGCTGGGTTAACCCAGACAGCCCCGTCCGTCCCCCTTCCTTCCAGTGTCCTTCCTAGGCTGCCCTGCTCACGTTGTCCCCTTGCTTAACCCACCCTTCCCCAGACCATCAGGGTCCTGTACCCTCTGAGGGGAATGGTGTATCTGGTGGTAAAGTCGGTCATCCGGCTAGCATGTGATGCCAGGCACTAGGTGAGCTGCATACACAGGTAAAGAAGACGCTTCCTCCACCCTGAAGAGTAACGTACAAATTCCCAGACACTAACCGTGAGGTGAGGACCACGGACAGGTGGTGCCAGAGGGGCCTGCCCGTGCTGCAGTCAAGGGAGGGATGGTCTCACTGAGTCTGCAAAGAGCCCGAGGCCAGGCCTAGGACATGGTAAGGATTCCATAACGGTGGTCCGCAGAGCCAGCAGAGATGCAGAGGCCTCGTCTATACAAATCTCACCAAAGTCCTGCTAATAAAACACAAATTTCAGACATTTCTTAACAACAAAGGTAAGTAAGCTAAACACAAAGAAGAATGAATAACTCCTCCTGAGCGACTCTGGGAGCAATGAGAAGACTTTGTAAACTAAAGAACCAAAACTCCAGCAGTGGGGACACTACACCAAATTCCCAAAAGGGTGAAAGCTGTGGGTCACACATAGAATCTTCTAGAGTGGTGGTTCTCAAAGTGTGGTTCCTGATTATTATCATCATTATCTTCTTCAAACTTGTTAAAAGGAAAATGTTCAGTCCCCACCGAGACCTACTGAATCACGTTCTGGGTGGGCCCAGCAGTCTGTGTTAACAAGTCCTTCAGGTGATGCTGACGTATGCTCAGGTTTGAGAGTCACTGATCTTTAGAACCTTGTTACACAAAGTTGCTGCAGACGAGCAGCATCAGCCTCCATGGGCCCCTACCCTGACCTACTGATTCAGAATCTGCAGCTTAACAAACTCACCGGGTTATTCTTGTGCACATTAGAGTCAGAAGTGCTGATCTGTAGATAAGCAACAAGGACTTATTGTATAGCACAGGGAACTATATGCAGTAATTTGTAATATCCTATAATGGAAAAGACTCAGGGAAAAAAAAAAATGTATATATATATATATATATATATATATATATATATATATATAACTGAATCACTTTGCTGTACACCTGAAACTAACACAATATTGCAGATCAACTATACTTCAATTTTTAAAAATAAAAAATTAAAGAAACCCAGAGGGGTCAAACAGAAACAAAATTGTAGGAGTAAAAAAAAAAAAAAAGTGCTAATCCAGAGAATGCCTAAAATCTAGTCTCTGAAATGAAGGAGGGCCTCACCCATCCAACAGCAGACAGGATTAAAATAACTAATACATTTAGCACACGGAGAATTCGAATAGAGGGAGGCCGGAAGTTGCTGCGATGCCTCCCTCCATCTCTACCGCCTCCATTGAGGGGGCACACCCCAGTCTAAATTGGGACTCTTTCCAGACAATCCTGTTAAAAGTTCCTCCTTAGCTGAATTGCAGTCAGCCTCGCTGGGCTTCCCACTCAGGAGCCTGGCCTGACCAGAGGGAATGGCCTGTCCTAGCTCAGGAAGGGCAAGAGTTTGTGCAGCTTTTCTCCCAGACTCTGTCCATACATGACTGAGCTACTCCACATATCTGCCTCTTTCTGTTCTGCTACAGACTGGCTACATACTTTCCTCTTGTCTACTGTGTTTTTAATCTCAGAAGCTGTTTACACCAAAGCTCAGTGTGACCTTGTATTGATTTCCTATTGCTGTAACAAAGTACCACAAACTTCATGGCTTAAAATAACATAAACACTATTTTATAATTCTTGAAGTCAGAAGTCTGAAGTGGGTTTTTAAATTTTTTTAATTTATTTTTGGCTGCGTTGGGTCTTCGTTGTTGCGTGCAGGCCTTCTCTAGTTGCGGTGTGTGGGCTTCTCATTGCGGGGACTTCTCTTGTTGCGGAGCATGGGCTCTAGGCGCGCAGGCTTCAGTAGCTGCAGCACATGGGCTCAGTAGTTGTGGCTCGAGGGCTCTAGAGCGCAGACTCAGTAGTTGTGGCGCACGGGCTTAGTTGCTCCGCGGCATGTGGAATCTTCCTGGACCAGGGCTCAAACCCATGTCCCCTGCACTGGCAGGCGGATTCTTAACCACTGCGCCACCGGGGAAGTCCCTGAAGTGGGTTTTATTGAGACAAAATCAAACCTCAGCAGGGCCATGCCTCTTCCAGAGACTAGAGAAAAATCTGTTTCCTTGTCTCTTCCAGTTTCTAGAGGCCATGTGCATTCCTTGGCTTACGACCCTTCCTCCATTTTCAAGGCCAGCAATGTAAAATTGTCAAATCTCTCTTTGACCCTCTGCTTCCACTGTCACATCTTTTATTTTTTTAATTTATTTTTTATCGATGTGTAGTTGAATTACAGTGTTGTGTTAATTACTACTGTACAGCAAACTGACTCAGTTATACATATATATATACATTCTTTCTCTTTTCCGTTATGGTTTATCACAGGATATTGAATATAGTTCCCTGTGCTATACAGTAGGGCCTTGTTGTTTATCCATTCTGTGTATACCAGTTTGCATCTGCTAATCCCAAACTCCCAGTCCAACCCTCTCCCACCCCCTGCCCCCTTGGCAACCACCAGTCTGTTCTCTATGTCCCTGATTCTATTTCTGTTTCATAGATAGGTTCATTTGCATTGTCACATCTTCTGACTGACCTTTCTGCCTCCCTATAAGGACCCTTGTGATTACATTGGATCCACCTGCATAAACCAAGATACTCTCATCTCAATATCCTTAACTTAATCACATCTGCAAAGTCCCTATTTATCATGTTAAAGTAACATAGTTACAAGTTCCAAGGATTATTATTCAGCTTACTACATTCTGTCTGGCTCTCAAAGATTTATGTCCATCCCACATGCAACATAAATTCACTTGATCCCAAGGTCCCCCAAAGTCTCAACACATTACAGCATCAACTCAAGTTCAAAATTTCATCTAAATCTCATCAGCTCAAAAGTCCCATATCTCATCATCTAAAAGGGTATGACTGAGATTCTGGGTATGATCCATCCCGGGGCAAAATTCCTCTCCATCCATGAACCTGTGATTGTGCTGAGGATTAAATGAGTTCACACACAAAGATTCAAGAAATAAATTATCTACTCACTTTCTAAAGTAAGATGCTGGTTTAGGTACAGTATAACAGTTATAGACATTTCAATTTAAAAAGGAAGAAAATGGGAATTCCCTGGCGGTCCAGTGGTTAAGACTCAGCACTTTCACTACCATGGGCCTGGTTTTGATCCCTGGTTGGGGAACTAAGA